GGTGCTTCTGGTGCTGCGGGTGCTGGAGGTACTGGCGGAGCTCCGCCGTCGCGCCTGTTCTTCGCTCCACCGTCGCCGTCGGCTTTGCCACCGCCTGACACGGTGCTTCGCCAGGTTCTTTCCCTCCCGTCTTCCACTGGCCTTCCCCTCCAGCCTGGCTCCCCCCTCCCTGCTCCTGTGCCTTACACTGCACAGCCGGACTCGCTTACGGAGCGTCGTGAGCCTGTGTCTCGTCCTGCCTCGCCTGTTCGCGCTGCTCGCACTGCTCGCACTGCGCGCACTGGTCCCACTGGTCGTCGTGTCGCGCGTCCGCGTCCTCCTCCTGTTCCTGGCACGCACATTATGGCCCTTCGTCCTTCCACTGGTCCACAGCGTGTCCCCCTACCGTCTCCTCCTGCGTCTTCTCTTCCTGACGTTCCCGACCCTGAGTCTGACAGTGTTCGTGCTGCCCACCCTACTGTTACCCGTCTTCTCGCCACTGTTGTCACTGACCCGTCTTTTGAGTCTGCTGCTGCGTCTGCCCTAGTCGCTGAGCTTGTCGACTTTGCTGCTGCCTGTCGTCTAGACTACGCCGCCAGTCTTGTTGCTGAGTCTGAGTCTGTCTGTCCTCCGTCCGTCGGGGGTGAGTGTGCTCTTGGCACGGACGTCCTTGAGGACAGGCAGGAGGACCTTGACTCTCTTGCGGCTGCTGTACCTCATCTCGTGGCCTGGCTGCTTGCCCCTGAGGGAGACCCGGATGCACTAGACATCCCCACTCCGCGCTCTTACGCAGAGGCGATCTCGGGCCCCTACTCCTCTCAGTGGCAGACAGCCATGGACGCAGAGATGGCATCCTGGAAGTCCACAGGCACCTACGTTGACGAGGTTCCCCCTCCTGGGGCGAACATCGTCGATGGCATGTGGATTTTCAGGGTGAAGCGGCCGCCAGGTTCTCCACCTGTCTTCAAGGCTCGTTACGTTGCTAGAGGCTTCAGTCAGCGTCAGGGGGTTGACTTCTTCCAGACCTTCTCCCCCACCCCGAAGATGACCACTCTTCGGGTTCTGCTGCACGTTGCCGCTCAGCGTGACTACGAGCTTCACTCTCTTGACTTCAGCACAGCGTTCTTGCAGGGCAGCCTGCACGAGGAGATCTGGCTGCGCCGCCCACCTGGCTTTACTGGGTCGTTTCCTCCTGGTACCCAGTGGAGCCTCCGCCGGCCAGTCTACGGTCTCCGCCAGGCGCCACGCGAGTGGCACGACACACTGAGGACTACACTTGCGGCCCTTGGGTTTGCTCCTTCCACTGCTGACCCGTCACTGTTCCTGCGCACAGACACGTCGCTGCCGCCGTTCTACATCCTCGTGTACGTCGACGACTTGGTCTTTGCTACTGCTGACACTGAGGCACTCGCTCGTGTGAAGTCGGAGCTGCAGAAGAGACACACTTGCACTGACCTGGGTGAGCTGCGTAGCTACCTTGGCTTGCAGATCACCCGGGACAGAGCACGCCGCACCATTACCCTGACTCAGTCACACATGGTGAAGCAGGTCCTTCAGCGCTTCGGCTTCCAGTTCTCCTCACCACAGGCCACACCTCTGGCTACCAGCCACTCGCTCTCAGCTCCACCTTCGGACGAGTCCGTAGAGCCGAGTGGCCCGTACCCAGAGCTTGTAGGCTGCCTCATGTACCTGATGACTTGCACGCGACCTGACCTCGCGTACCCTCTTAGCATCCTTGCTCGTTACGTTGCGCCTGGGAGACACAGGCGAGAGCACTGGGAGGCTGCTAAGAGGGTACTGCGTTACTTGTGCAGTACATCAGGCATGGGGCTGGTGCTTGGAGGACGCGACAGAGTTGTCCTCACTGGTCACTCGGACGCTTCTTGGGTGGACGACTTGGCTACGCAGCGGTCGTCGCAGGGTTACACCTTCAGCCTTGGCTCTGGTTCTGTCTCGTGGCGGTCCACCCGCTCTTCTTCTGTTCTCAGCTCTAGTTGTGAGGCTGAGATCTACGCCACAGCCATGGCTGCACTGGAGTTACGCTGGCTCACCTACCTGCTGACTGACTTGGGAGAGCGGCCTAGTTCTCCTCCAGTTCTGTACGGCGACAACAAGGCGGCCCTTGCCTTGTGTCAGGAGCACAGACTGGAGCACAGGACGAAGCACATTGCTCTTCGCTACTTTCTTGCTCGAGAGCTGCAGCAGCGAGGTCAGCTTCGGCTTGTGTACGTGGACACGAAGACCAACACTGCTGATATATTCACCAAAACGCTCCCGCCTAGTGATCATCAGCGGCACTGTACTTCTTTAGGCCTTGTGTCCACATTCCCTCATTTGCTTACTGCTTGACTTTCTTTGTACTGTACTTTATATATATCTTGTTGCTTGCTTGCTAGGTCTTGATCACTGTGTTGCTTGTCTTGTACTATATCTAGCACTGCATGTGAACTGGCCTTATAGCCTTTGCTTGTGCTCGGAGTGTGGTGACGTTGTGATCCACCCTGGGCTTGCGTTGCTTTGCTTTGCCTATGGGGGTGTGTTAAATTGTAATGTGTTACATGTTGGTAGGCTGTAGTGGGGTAGCCAATATGGGGTACAACCCCAACTAGGGTTTGCTACTTGTACCCAACTGTTTCATTCAATGCACCATTCTTGCCTAGTCTTGTTGACAGGAAGTCCCACGTGTACGCATACACAATGTTCACTGTCTCCCCGAGGAGCATCTGCAGAGTGCCGCTAGCACCACGGTTCAGCTGCATCTCACACGACCCTGTCGCAACCTGCACGAAGATTTCGCCTGTCTGGTACTGCGAGGGGTTGGGATCGGGATTGTCGAGGCTGCCCTCCCACACGTTGCCGAAGTTGAAGCACTGGTACACGCGCAGCGGGCTGGTGACGTTGTAGGCGCAGCCGTTGTAGAAGGTCATGTTGTAGATGTCGTTGTGCAGGTCGTACAGCCCCAGGTACTGCGAGCGGATCGTCACCGTCGTGCGCCCACACGCTGGGAGGGAAGAGACGGCAGAGGGGAAGTGGGAAGGGGGAAGGGGGAAGGGGAAAGGGGGAAGGGGAAGAGGTGAGTCGGGGTGGGCTGTGCAGACCGTCCCTGTCTGTGCGCCCACAACAAAGGGAAGCACAAAAAAAAAAAAATCCAGATTGTCACCGACATGCACGCAAACACTTCAGCGCACAACAGAGGAGGCAACGGGGGCAGAGGAATGAGAGGCCAGGAGAGCAAGAATAGCAGGGGGAAGAAGCACGAAGAGAGGGAGAGGAGGGAGCAGCGTTGCGTACTGGTGGCGAGGGCCTGGCGGCGGGGGATGTGGTCGAGGTAACCCGGCAGAGGGTCGTGGGGAGCAGCCGCCAGAATGCGCGCGCCCTTCCTCTGCTGCCCCGCCACCCCCGCCCCGCCAGGCGCGCCCCCGTCCGTTGGGACGAGGCCCCTGGCTACCTTCATGGCGTCCCGCGCTCCACTCACCGCCGCCGCCAGCAGCCCCACCGCCAGCGCTGCCAGCACCAGCACGCGCATGCCAGCCGTCGCCATGAGGAGAGGCGCGGAGATTGCAGGAGAGAAGCGAGAAGCGCGAGAGGGCCTTGGTGAGGCGAGTGAATAACTTAGTGGGAGGACTGGGCGAGCTGATGACTACGTGACGGCCCATCATGGCTGTTTTATAGGAGGAGATAGACCGGGAGATGCGGTGCACGGATGATGCTAAGAGAGGGTTTCTCTCCTCTGGCACGGAGGAGGAATCACCCTTCCTGCTGCTGCTGCTGGTGTTGAGGAATCATCACTGCAGCGGCAATGGAGAAGGTGAGAAGTCAGGACGGCACGGCAAAGGTCACTGTCGATTGCCATGCTGCCTATAGTAGTCGTTCCTCTCACATCGCCACTGCCACTCTGTTCCTCTCCTCTCGCCCGCTTGGCATTCCCGCTGGGAACATTCGCTTTGAGCGGCCGCTGCTGCGCATTGCAAGTTGCCGTGAGACACGGAGGGCGACATGCCAATGATCTCGGCAGGGAGAGTTCCAGCTGACCTGCGACACTCCAGATCTGCGACGCTCCAGATCTGCGACGCTCCAGATCTCGCCAACACGTGGAACACGCGCGCCAAGCGCCCTGCGAATCAACGCTCCAGCGGCTCTGCCGCGCGGCGAGGCTCGGAACTTGCGGACGGATGTGCAGTCCGGGATGCTGAGATTTCGATCGGCGGCTTGATCCGAGTTGCAACAACCATGGGGTCGACAGCGACACGGGCGGGGAAGCCCGCGCGGTAACCACGATGCTCTGAATGGATCAACCGACGGTTAAACCAAACGACTGCATACGATTCGCCTGATCGGAGTCAGCCACGCTTGACACCCCAGCCCCACGGTCGAGCTTGGGGGACAGTTAACCGGCGGTCTGCGAGTCTAACGACATGCAGCAGTCGAGTCGCGGGCGACATGGTGGTTGCCTTACTGAACAACGGCTTTCTAGCACGACGGACGGTTACGCTGCTGTCTGGTCGGAGTTGTGTGTGTCGCTTTGTCGCTTGGTGGTTCTACGGGCAACTAATCAGTGGGCTAAGCAACCTAGAAAATACCGCAACCGCAACCTGGTTGTGTTGCATTGCAGGGTGGTGTCTATTCGTGTGCCTCGTGCAAAACGGTTATTGCAGCATCACCAATCCAAATTCGCACAGATTTCCGGCGAAGCCTATCAGATTCGTCTCTACGAATTTGGGATTTACGACGCTGCTGACTGGATAACAATGTAACCTTGCTCACTCTACCGAACCGACACGGGCTCGTGCTTCACCGAAGTTTACTTCACCGTCTTTTATGTTAATGCATCTCATATGGTATTTCCAACTCATTCTGTTTAGCAAATCCATCTTGCTGAGAACAAAGACCAGCGCGAGCACATCTCAGTTCACTTCTCATATAGAACACGAGACAAACACACCTGCCAGATCTAACACTATGTACATTGCATTGGTACTAAAACCCAATCATACCCACAGAACACAGCAAAGCAAAGCCACTCAGAAGCCCACCACCTGCTTGATGAGCATAGGCATCTCCTCCTCTGCCTCTCCCCCGCCGCTCTTCCTGGGCGGCAGGATGCCAAACTCGCTCTGCCGGGTGGCGCGCAGCTTCTCCAGCAGCTTCTCATCGACGTTGAAGGCGGCGCTCTGCACGGCGGGGGGCAGCATCCGAAACACCGAGTTCGCTCCCGCCAGGAACCCCGCCTGCGGGCGGCTCTTGGGAACCATGGTGATGCACTCCAGACCCTCTCCATAGGCCAGCTGGACATAGAAATGAGAGGATAGACGGAAGGGATGGGGAATCAGAACAAGATTCACTATTGTAGGGGAAGGAAAGTTACCCGTAAGCGGCAAATCTGTCCACTCACAGCAGCGTGCGGGTAGCTGGCAGGAACGACCACAAAGTCACCCTCCTTCACGTCGTGCCGCAGCGCCTGCCTGCCGTCGGGGTAGGCGATCTCGACCCGCCCCTTGCCCTTGGTGACATACAGCATGGCCGCCGCATTCGCCAGCCATCGTGGTGGCGTCATGGCGTTGCCCTCCAGGCTGATGCGCGCCACTGCAAAGCCCACTTTGCGGAACGCCGGCAGCTTGTACCCATTCGCAACTGTCATGTTGCCGCCGCGCTTCGCAACGATGTCCGGCTGGCGCGCCTTGAGGTTGTAGGTGAAATCAGTAAAGATGCTCACACTGGCTTTCGCCCCCTTGCCAAAGTGAGGCTGGTCGTTCCCCTCCTCAATCCCCTCCTCAGTTCCCTCCTCGATCCCCTCCTCAATCCCCTCCTCAATTCCCTCCTCAATTCCCTCCTCAATCCCCTCCTCGTCCTCTGCCTCCTCTGCCCCCTCCGCCCCCCCCACCTCCTTTGCCTCCTCTGCCTCCTCCTCCTCCTCATTCTCCCCATAGCTTTCCAGCTCTGCCTGAAGCTGGGGAGTGACTTTGACAAATACGCTTTCCTGCTGCGCCTGCAGCAGCTGCTGCACCTCCCCCTCCTCCACGTCCCACGCCTGAGCCAGCAGGTCAGAGCTGGTTGGACGGAGGATTGGGGGAAAGGGGGAGCGCAGAGGGGTGAAGTAACAGGATAAAGAAAAGGATGAACTGACACCCTACAAGAGGTACTGGGAGAGAGACAATCACCTGATCAAAGATCACCTGAATGATGAACTCACCTGAAGCCGTGGTGAAATCACCTGAAGCCATGTTGGGCTCACTTGAAGCCATGTTGAACTCACCTGAAGCCGTGCTGAACTCACCTGAAGCCATGCTGAACTCGCCTGAAGCAGTGCTGAACTCACCTGAAGCCGTGCTGAACTCACCTGAAGCCTTGCTGAACTCACCTGAAGCCATGCAGAATGCTTCCAAAGTTCTCCTTCCGCACGCCCATGAGGTGGAAGGCGGTGTATCGGCCCGCAGAGCTTGGCGCGCCCTGGGAGGTGTCAGTGGCATTGGACGTATCGGCCACGGAGAGAACCTGAAAAGGCTGCTGGCCGTTGTTCCAAATCCAACGCGCCCACCCCCTGGGAATCGCAAAGGCGTCTCCCTCCCTCAGCTGCCTGAACGGAGCAGAACCAGGGGAAGCAGGTGAGTGAGAGGGAAGCATTGCATGGAGCGGACAGAAACGACTGCTGAGGTGGAAGCAAGCAAACAGATGTAGGCGGAACAAGAAAAGAAAGTGAGAGGGAGGTATCGAGACAGAGAGTTTAGGTGACGACGGTGATGATACGTGGTTCCATGAGAAAGAAGGACTTCTTAAAGCCTGTAGCACGTTCTCATGGGTACCTGAGATTCGTTGGTGCTCCCATGGGGCTGATGAGGCCTGCCATAGCCTCGCCCTTCAACACGTAATAGGCCTGATGAACACGCACAAGGCTCGGTGAGAGAAAAAGGCACGTGAGTGAGGAATGAGCGGTGAGAGCACGCACCAGCAGAGCAAGTCGCAAAGCGGGAGAGAACAAAATCACAGAAAATATAGTGGCAGCTATAGTGCTTTACAATGGTACCTGCGGGGAGTTGGCATACAGTGGCAGCTCAAGGACCTGGCTCTGCACTGTTATCAGCGCATGAGATGAGACGATTTTTAAGTCGACAAAAAAACGGTACCTGCGGAGAGTTGGCATATAGTGGCAGCTCAAGGAACTGGCTCTGCACTGTTATCAGTGCCGCCGCCACATGCGCTGCCTGGAAGTATGGCAGGAAGAGAAAGGGACATATCACGAGTTCCCCTCAATTTGTGGAGCAAAGAAAAAAAGAAAGAAAGAAAGAAAGAAAAAAGACAAAGAAAAAAGTACAGACTTGGGTAAATAAAACAAAGGCAAATTCCGTGGCCACATAATCACCGGCAGATTGAGAGGCGTTGCCTGCTGCTGCCTGACAGGCGTTCCCTCTCTCACCTGCACCTGCTCTCACCTGCACCTGCTCTCACCTGCAGCTGTTTGAAATCTTCACTCCACACCTCCACGCGCCCTCCGCTGCCCCCGACCCTCTCCTTGGGCTGCCCGGGTAGAAATTCCTGCTCCTCCGCGGCGGAGCCGTGAAACAGCATTGCCACCAGCAGCGCCGCCAGCAGCGCCCCCAGCACCGCCAGCACAACCGCGAGCTTCCCCATACTAGCTCGGCCGCCACTGCCGCTCAAGAAGCCCGATTGCATGGCGGTCGCAGAGGAACCAGCCCGACTAGTAACCAGCCCGGGAACTCGATCGATGGTTAGCTAGCTCAATCTTCTTTGCAGCGCGAGCTTCTCGGGTCACGCAGGCGTTTACCAGACTCGGCGGGTAAGGAACACTAGGGGTCTAAGCCTGAGGGATTTGCTACGAGAAGGACTCCTTCCTGAAAGCGCTACAGCGTGTTTCTTAGAATTCTCAAAAATGGCCTGATGGATTTGCTACGTACGAGGAAGACTCCGACCTGAAAGCCGCGCTAGGGGATGCAGATGCGCGCGAGTCGACTCAAAAGTCACTCCGAACCGACAGCGTTTGGGGATGCAGACACGCGCGAGCCGAGCGTGGTGAGGAGGCGGCGCGAATCAAGTCTTTATCAAGTCGAGCGTGGTCCGTCCGTCCGTCCGTCTGACCCGCTCACGGCGGTCGACCTCGGGCTTCCGCCGCCGTCGCCGCAGCGGAACCCACGCAGCGGCGGGGCGGCCGCCTCGCATCCGTCCATGCAGCCCCGCGTCGACTCGCCTCGCCGGCGATGCGCGCCGGATCCGCTCGCTCTGCCTCTCCATCTCATGCTGAAGCGCCGCACGCCGGTGTTTATGAGCCACCTCGAAAACTGCCTCTCCATCTCGCCATGCTGAAGCATCTCGATACTAGCACGCCCGCTGCTCATGTGACGGTCACGCAGCATGCGTGTGTCTTCACTTGCTCGCACGCGGTCGCATGCTCACGGAGCCGACTTGCAGTGTGACCCACTCAATAACATGTAAAGAGGCTGGCCTGACATAAAAGCATGTATCATGGAAGTACGCATAGAAAGAGGCTGGTGCGGAGGCATGCCTCGCGGCGTGGATGGAGGCATACTCTATTCATATCCGCCGTATAAGAACACACCAAGTGTGCGCTTGAAAGAAACAGATTTGCAAACGGAAACAAAAAGTAAGTGGAACATCCAAAATCAGTTATCCTGTTTCTATCATTCAATTCAATTAGACAGCCAGATGACAGCTCGTCCCAGTACTTCCAAATCAGCTGTACCTGCAAGTGTCCCTTTAATCGGTAACCTCCACTCCAGTTACTTGACAAAACACTTACCCACCCACCATCCACGCATAGCTATCTAACGGATGCTAACCTCCATAGCATCAAAGCCCTGATGAAACCTGCCAGCATCACCACTTTCTAATTATATGTAGCTAGCGGCAAGTATCACCTGTAGCCTGCATTCCAGAAATCCTGTCAACCCCCAGACACAACCATCAAGCGGATGCTAACCATCATCACCGCATCAAACCCTTCGTCATCCCTGCAGCCCTCTCATCCGAGCTGTTGTCTCGTCTTGATAATGCTCGAGTGCTGTGAGCAACACACCACACTCTTTCAAGACCTTCGGTAATCACTTATGAGAATTCATAAAGGCCTCACATCATCCCAGCAGCCCTGTCATCCCAGCAGCCTTTTCATCCGAGCTGTTGTCTCGTCTTGATGACGCTCTTGAGCGCTGTGAGCCACACGCCACACTCCTCCCAGTCCTTGGTCGTCAGATCCACCTGCCGTTGAGTGTGCAAATGAAGGGGAGGGAGGTGTGAGAGGGGGGAGGGGGAGCAGTAAGGGAGGGGAGAGCATGTGTGTGTTTTTTAATGCTGGAAGGAGGGATATGTGTCTGTACGTGTGTATGTGCTGGGAAAAATGTGAGTGCCTGTGTCATCAGAGTGCAACACATCAACATCCATCTCTCAACACCGCTCTCCACCCAACTAGAAGTGGCATTTCTACCCATCTGGATGTGCAGAGCAGTCGATTAGTCCCCAGCGGCAAGAGCAGCACGGAATTGAACCACCTTGCCGGCTACGAGGTGACTTTTGAGTCGACTCAAAAGTCACGGCCGCCAGAGCAGCACGGAGTTTCACCACCCTGCCAGCTACGAGGGCTACACATTGCGCCTAGTTTTGAGTCGACTCAAAATTGCGCTGGTTCAGTTCAGGCCCAGATTACTGCTGTTGGCGAGGTGACATTTGACTAGATTCACATGTCATCTCTCACCACCGCTTTCCACCCACCTGAATGTGCAGAGCAGTGGCATAGTCCCCAGCATCCAGCGCAGCACAGAGGGGCAGCAGCTTTCCGGTCACGGAGGGCGACACATCCCGCTGGTTGAGGCGCTGCAGCAGCAGCCCGAGCTTCCTGCTGTTGGCATCCATCTCCCTCTTCTTGCCTGCATTGCCCTGCGCCGCCACTGCCGCTGCTGCCTCCTTGAACACCCTCACCAGCGTGCTTACCACTGGACGCAGCTCAGCTGGAGAGAGCAGGGGAGAGGGAGAGGCAGAGAGGGAGAGTGCGAAAGAGGAAGTTCAGAAACAGCAGCCCTCTCGTCAACGAGTGTTGACGCCTGTCGCCCTCTCATTGGGAGGTGGTTGGGAGGAGGGGAAGAAGGGTGGTTGGGAGGAGTGTTTGTTGTTTTGAAAGGAGGGGAAGAAGAGAGAAACGAGAGGGCAGGCAAAGCAGCACGCTCTGGCTCTTGAGAACTCCCAGAAACCAGCTAGTCTCAAAGCAGGCAGATATGAGTGAGCATGAATTGTAGTCCTTGTGAGTGATTTTTGAGAATTCTCAAAAATCACTCACAAGAACTTCCCAGAAACCAGCTTGTCTCAAAGCAGGGAGATATGAGAGAGCAGGAAAGGGGACACACTTGCAGGCCACGTTGTGGGGTTCAACGAGGGGAAGAGGAGAGACGAGAGAGGGTAGGCAAAAAGAGAAAACGCAGGGGCCACGTTACAGGTGTCAGCTGTTTGTATTGTGGGTGGCGGAGCGGCCGGGGAATTGAATGGGTGGGGAATGGGAGGGGAATGGGAGGGGAATGGGAGGGGAATGGGAGGGGAATGGGAGGGGAATGGGAGGGGAATGGGAGGGGAATGGGAGGGGAATGGGAGGGGAATGGGAGGGGAATGGGAGGGGAATGGGAGGGGAATGGGAGGGGAATGGGAGGGGAATGGGAGGGGAATGGGAGGGGAATGGGAGGGGAATGGGAGGGGAATGGGAGGGGAATGGGAGGGGAATGGGAGGGGAATGGGAGGGGAATGGGAGGGGAATGGGAGGGGAATGGGAGGGGAATGGGAGGGGAATGGGAGGGGAATGGGAGGGGAATGGGAGGGGAATGGGAGGGGAATGGGAGGGGAATGGGAGGGGAATGGGAGGGGAATGGGAGGGGAATGGGAGGGGAATGGGAGGGGAATGGGAGGGGAATGGGAGGGGAAAGGGAGGGGAATGGGAGGGGAAAGGGAGGGGAATGGGAGGGGAATGGGAGGGGAATGGGAGGGGAATGGGAGGGGAAAGGGAGGGGAATGGGAGGGGAAAGGGAGGGGAATGGGAGGGGAAAGGGAGGGGAATGGGAGGGGAATGGGAGGGGAATGGGAGGGGAATGGGAGGGGAATGGGAGGGGAATGGGAGGGGAATGGGAGGGGAATGGGAGGGGAAAGGGAGGGGAATGGGAGGGGAAAGGGAGGGGGGAGGGGAATGGGAGGGGAATGGGAGGGGAATGGGAGGGGAATGGGAGGGGAGGGGGAGGGGAATGGAGGGGAGAGAAGGAGGAGAACGAGAGGGCAGGCAAAGCAGCGCACTCACGGGCCACGTTGGAGGTGTCGGCAGTTTGCACCGTGGGCGGCGGGGCAGGCGGCGCAGCCTCGGGAGCAGCCAGCGCAGGTGCAGCCGCAGCAGCAGGAGGAGCAACCGCCCCAGGCGCACCCACAGCAGCAGCACCAGGCGGGCGCACGCCAGGAGGGGGGCCAGTGGGGCGCATCATGGGGGCAGCGCCAGGGGGGGGGATTCCGGGGGGAAGCACCCCAGGGGGGGGCGCGCCAGGGGGGAAGACCCCGGGGGGAGGGGCAGTGGGGCCCATGCCAGGAGGGGGAGCGGTGGGCATGCGGTGGGCAGGAGGGGGAGCCACGGGAGTGAAGGCGATGGGACGGGGTCCCTGTGCTGGGCGCACTGCTGGTGGCGGCTGTGTGGGCATCATCACCCCCGGCTGATGGGTGGGGCGGGGTGGTGGTTGGGGGGAGAGGGGGGTTGGGGGAAAGAAGTGTTGGTTGGAAAGGAGGGGGTGAGGGTCACGGAGCGGGGTCCCTGTGGTGCCCGTGCTGCTGGTGGCGGCTGCGTGGGCATCATGACTCCTGGCTGATGGGAAAGGAAGACGGAGGTTGGGGAGACAAAGGGAGACGACGATCGAGAAGCGGTTTCAAGGAGTGTGGGTTGGTTGGGAGAAGGAGGGCGTGCAGGACGAGAGAAAATACAAGCGATTGGTTAAAAACGGTGAGAAGGGGTACAAATGGAGTGGGAGAGAGGGACATACTGGAGGGCCGGAGGGCATGTGATGGGTGGATGGAGGGGGGGCGGCCACAGGAGGGGGAGCAACAGGCATGAAGGACGGCTGGGGGAAGGGGTGGGAGGGAGTATAGGAGCGAGCAGGGGGACAGGGATGGCAAGGGAGAGAAGAAGCAGAGGAAACAAAGTGCATGAGAAGAAATTGAGCTGCCTTGTCCCGGACCCGTGAGCTGGGAAGGACTACCAACACGCTGCAGCCGCAGCTTTCACACGCTCCCTGCGCTGCTGCCCAGCAGCAGGAGGAAAAGAAGCAGCAGCAGAAGCGGTAGGGAAGAGGGCAGAAGCACAGCACATCTGATGCATGAGTTGTGGTGACATGTGGTCACATGCATGTATTGTGGTGACATGTGGTCACACGCATGTATTGTGGTGACATGTGGTCACATGCATGTATTGTGGTGACATGTGGTCACACGCATGTATTGTGGTGACATGTGGTCACATGCATGTATTGTGGTGACATGTGGTCACATGCATGAGTTGTGGTGACATGTGGTCACATGCATGAGTCGTGGTGACATGTGGTCACATGCATGTATTGTGGTGACATGTGGTCACATGCATGTATTGTGGTGACATGTGGTCACACGCATGTATTGTGGTGACATGTGGTCACACACATGTATTGTGGTGACATGTGGTCACATGCATGAGTTGTGGTGACATGTGGTCACATGCATGAGTCGTGGTGACATGTGGTCACATGCATGTATTGTGGTGACATGTGGTCACATGCATGTATTGTGGTGACAAGAGCTCACCTGTGCGCCTGGTGCTGCCTGCCCTGCTGCCATGGGCTGCATGGGCTGCATGGGTGGGGGGTGCTGAGGCATAGCCACACCCGGGGGCGGTGCAGTGGGCATGAACATGTGTGGCCTTGCTCCTGTTGCTGCTGCTGCTGCTGCTGTTGTTGCTACTGCTGCTGCTGCTGCTGCTGTTGCTGCTGCTGTTGTTGCTGTTGCTGCTGCTGCTGTGCATAGGACTGAGCAGGAGGAGCAACGGGCTGGGGCTGATAAGTGGAGGCATAGGAGGTTTGTGCGTGCCGTTGCTGCTGCTGGTGCGGCTGCTGCTGGCGAGGTGGGGTGTGGGCAATCGGCTGCTGTGGCTGCTGTGGGGCAGCCTGAGCAGGCGCTGGTGACTGTGGATGGAAACGGGAATGGGACAAGACACGGGACAAGGGAAAAAGGGAAACGGAGAGGGGTAAACATAAAAGGGAACGGCAGCAGAACAGAGAGGGGTGAGGGGAGAACGGAAATGGGAAATGGGAGAAAGGCGAACGGACAGCAAAAAGAAACGGTTATTAGCTTATTAAGGGTGCAGAGCTGGTACTTAAACGAGTGAGCATAAGCAGCGGTTTCTGCTTATCAACAGATGGCCCAGTAACAGCAGCAGCAGCAATGGAGTGAAAGACAAATGCCACACGAGATCAGACGAAGCAGGTACATACCTGATAGTAGGAAGGCTGAGCAGGCGCAGCAGCATATGCTGATTGCTGAGCAGCGTACGGCTTGGCAGCAGCAGCAGCAGTAATGGTAGCGGAGGAGCCAACAGGCACATCGACAGGCGTGAAGGGGAAGGGCGGGGCGGGCTGTGAAGGGTCCACGACAACTGCAGAAAATGGGATGGGAGGGACGACAAGGGAAGATGATTGCTGCGTTGGCTAAATGCACGACTTTTGAGGTGCCTAAACGTTGATAGGCGTGAAGAGGAAGGGAGGAGCTGGTTATGAGGCGTCCATGGCAACTGCAGTGAATAGAATGGGACGGACAGGGAAAGGCTTTTGGTGAGTTAGCTGAATGCACGAGAGGATGCAATGCATACGCTGCTTACTCGTTGTAACAATTGCAAGTGGGGATGCTGACCTCACACCCACCCACCAAAAAACCTAACTAAACAACTGTTTTGCTAAACACAGCTGCTGCCACGCCACGCTACGCCATGCCTCCTACTTGGGCTCCATTGGTCTCGTTGTAACAAATGCAAGTGGGGATGCTGACCTCACACACACCCACCAATCTAAACGATTTGACCTCCCCGTCCCCCTTAGAAGGCACAGACACAGATAAACAGTGCCCTCAGGTCCACACAACGCCAAACACACAGGCACACATGAAACCACCCACACCATATCCGCCCCCCCTTCTTTCCCCCACACACAACAAAAACAACGACAACCCACCGAGTCCGCTGCGGTAGATTCGTTCCTTCAGTGCAGCAGCAGCCGTGGCAGCCTCAGCCACACTCGGGTCATTCACACTCTCCTCCCACGGCGGCAGAAGAGACAACAGATGCTGTGCCGCCGCCGCCCGGCCCTGCGCTGCCAGCACGGTTGCGTACTCTGAGACGAGCGATGCCGCCCACCTGCCGCCGACTCTGCTTTGCCCTGTAGCCAAGCCCAGCACCACTGCCTTCTCAATAAGATCCTGCGTTTGACCAGAAATAAATGGGGAGGGAGAATGGGGGAGAGGACGGGGAAAACTTTTGAGGCGCCTCAAAAGGAGAACGGGGGAGAGGACGGGGAAAACTTTTGAGGCGCCTCAAAAGGAGAACGGGGGAGAGGACGGGGAAAACTTTTGAGGCGCCTCAAAAGGAGAACGGGGGAGAGGACGGGGAAAACTTTTGAGGCGCCTCAAAAGGAGAACGGGGGAGAGGACGGGGAAAACTTTTGAGGCGCCTCAAAAGGAGAACGGGGGAGAGGACGGGGAAAACTTTTGAGGCGCCTTAAAAGGAGAACGGGGGAGAGGACGGGGAAAACTTTTGAGGCGCCTCAAAAGGAGAACGGGGGAGAGGACGGGGAAAACTTTTGAGGCGCCTCAAAAGGAGAACGGGGGAGAGGACGGGGAAAACTTTTGAGGCGCCTCAAAAGGAGAACGGGGGAGAGGACGGGGAAAACTTTTGAGGCGCCTCAAAAGGAGAACGGGGGAGAGGACGGGGAAAACTTTTGAGGCGCCTCAAAAGGAGAACGGGGGAGAGGACGGGGAAAACTTTTGAGGCGCCTCAAAAGGAGAACGGGGGAGAGGACGGGGAAAACTTTTGAGGCGCCTCAAAAGGAGAACGGGGGAGAGGACGGGGAAAACTTTTGAGGCGCCTCAAAAGGAGAACGGGGAAGAGGACGGGGAAAACTTTTGAGGCGCCTCAAAAGGAGAACGGGGGAGAGGACGGGGAAAACTTTTGAGGCGCCTCAAAAGGAGAACGGGGGAGAGGACGGGGAAAACAGAGCCGTGTTTGAGATCAACTCCTCAAAACGAGAGTGTTTGAGATCAACTCCTCAAAACGAGAGTGTTTGAGATCAACTCCTCAAAACGAGAGTGTTTGAGATCAACTCCTCAAAACGAGAGTGTTTGAGATCAACTCCTCGTGCTACAATGAGCCATTGTGATTCCAATTAGCGGCTTCGCTCGCCACTTGTGCAGATGAGGATGGAGCGAAGGTGGTGGATCCTCATCTGAAGGTATGGCAGAGATGGCGCGATTGACATGGGTGTTAGATCCATGTACGCTCTCTAGACTAAACTCACTTGCAGGTGTGGCACGGGCGGGGACCCCTGTCAGGGCTGCAAGCGGGACGCCCAGATGTCGACCACTCAGTAGATGGACCCCGCACACATGAAGCACAGCGTCGCTGCCTGCCACTGCAGGCAGAACATCCATCCCTGTACACTAGTTTCTACACTGGACTCTCTTGCAGGTGTGGCAGGGGCGGGGAGGCTTGGGAGGGTTGCTCGTGCAGAAGGTGGGAGGCCTAGATGTCCACCACTCGGTCAATGGACCCCGCACACATGATGAAGCACAGCGTTGCTGCCTGCCACTGCTGGCTGGAAGGCCTAGACTGCCAATGCAGGAGGCGAAGGCAGTAATGGACTGGTCTGGGATGGGCTGGGGACTCACTTGCAGGTGTGGCAAGGGCGGGGACCCCTGTGAGGGCTGCAGGCGCGAGGCCCAGATGTCCACCACTCGGTCGATGGACCCCGCACACATGAAGCACAGCGTCGCTGCCTGCCACTGCCCAGCCGCTTCCAGGCGCGCTGCCAGCTCGTCACACAACACAGACCACTCGTGGCTCGGAGCGTACTGGCAGGGCAGGGGGAGGCGGGGAGCGGGAACAGTAGGTAAGGGGGTGAATGGGAAGGGGGAGCAAGGGGCAGTCATGTGGTCTGCTTCCAGCCGCGCTGCCAGCTCGTCACACAGCACCGACCACTCGTGGCTCGGCGCCTACTGTCAGGGCCAGGGATGGGGAAGGTGACACGGATGTAAGAGATACGAGGAGTGTGGGTGAATGGAAAGAGGGGTTCAAAAGCTCTGTGGTAACAGCACTTGACGAGAATCACATACCAGGTGAAAACGAACGTGCACGATGAACGTCAGGAATCAGTCAGCGAAGAGCTAGTGGAGGCCTTACAGTGCAGAGCATGGCAAGGGTTTCCCGCCAGTCAGAGAGTGGCTGTGATGCCACGAGCCCTCTGATGTCGCTCGCCACCACTGCTCCCAGCAGCTGTGCACCGAGTAAGAAAGGAAGAGAGGGGGGGGGGGGGGGGGGGGGAGAAACAGGGAGCGAGGGTTAAAGAATGGGAAGGAGGGATTAGGTTGTGATGCCACGAGCCCCCTGATGTCACTCGGCACCACCGCTCCCAGCAGCTGTGCACCGAGTAAAGGAAGAGATCGGGGGGGGGGGCGGGGGGGGAGAAACAGGGAGCGATGGTTAAAGAATGGGAAGGAGGGATTAGGTTGTGATGCCACGAGCCCCCTGATGTCACTCGCCACCACCACATTCAGCAGCTGTGGAGGAGAGGAAAAGATGTGAGGAGAGGAAAAGATGTGAGGAGAGGAAAAGATGTGAGGAGAGGAAAAGATGTGAGGAGAGGAAAAGATGTGCGGAGAGGAAAAGATGTGCGGAGAGGAAAAGATGTGAGGAGAGGAAAAGATGTGAGGAGAGGAAAAGATGTGAGGAGAGGAAAAGATGTGAGGAGAGGAAAAGATGTGAGGAGAGGAAAAGATGTGAGGAGAGGAAAAGATGTGAGGAGAGGAAAAGATGTGAGGAGAGGAAAAGATGTGCGGAGAGGAAAAGATGTGAGGAGAGGAAAAGATGTGCGGAGAGGAAAAGATGTGAGGAGAGGAAAAGATGTGAGGAGAGGAAAAGATGTGCGGAGAGGAAAAGATGTGCGGAGAGGAAAAGATGTGCGGAGAGGAAAAGATGTGAGGAGAGGAAAAGATGTGCGGAGAGGAAAAGATGTGAGGAGAGGAAAAGATGTGAGGAGAGGAAAAGATGTGCGGAGAGGAAAAGATGTGCGGAGAGGAAAAGATGTGCGGAGAGGAAAAGATGTGCGGAGAGGAAAAGATGTGCGGAGAGGAAAAGATGTGCGGAGAGGAAAAGATGTGAGGAGAGGAAAAGATGTGAGGAGAGGAAAAGATGTGAGGAGAGGAAAAGATGTGCGGAGAGGAAAAGATGTGCGGAGAGGAAAAGATGTGAGGAGAGGAAAAGATGTGAGGAGAGGAAAAGATGTGCGGAGAGGAAAAGATGTGAGGAGAGGAAAAGATGTGCGGAGAGGAAAAGATGTGAGGAGAGGAAAAGATGTGAGGAGAGGAAAAGATGTGCGGAGAGGAAAAGATGTGCGGAGAGGAAAAGATGTGCGGAGAGGAAAAGATGTGAGGAGAGGAAAAGATGTGCGGAGAGGAAAAGATGTGAGGAGAGGAAAAGATGTGCGGAGAGGAAAAGATGTGAGGAGAGGAAAAGATGTGCGGAGAGGAAAAGATGTGAGGAGAGGAAAAGATGTGCGGAGAGGAAAAGATGTGAGGAGAGGAAAAGATGTGAGGAGAGGAAAAGATGTGAGGAGAGGAAAAGATGTGCGGAGAGGAAAAGATGTGCGGAGAGGGGGGAGGAGAAGAAAGAGTGGACAAGGGAAAGTTGGGGAGGGATGAGGGAGGAAAGAAGGGGAAGAAGGGATTGAGGTACTCGGGTGCAAGGGGCGAGGAGGAGGAGGAGGAGGCACAAACGAAGCAAACGTCTGCAGGCCTTGCGCACCGCATCTGGCCTTGCTCACTCAAAAGCCACATGGTGTGGGCCCACCCACCCACCCACCCACCTTGAGAAAAGAGCGGCGGCGGTGGCGGCGGAGGTACCAGCGCTGTTTTGAGTCCACTCAAAACATCAGTCAAAGTCACGAGGCAAACCCCACCCCCCCACGCACACAGCAGCCCACCCACCCACCTTGAGGAAGGAGCGGCGGCGGTGGCGGCGGAGGTACCAGCGCTGCGTGCGCGCCCAGAGGTCGGAATTAAACCCCGCCACCGCCGCCAGCACCAGCGCGTCCGCCACCCTGCCCGCTGCTAGACACCTCTCCACCGCCGCCTCATAGTTCCCCACCACCAGTGCCCTCTGCACCTCGCCCTCCCACTCCCCTCCTCCCTCCTCCTCCTCTTCCTCCTCCTCTTCCTCCTCCTCCTCCGCCTCACCCTCCCCTGCTCCGTCGCCGGTTACCTCGCCATTTTCCCCCGGAGCTTCCCCTTGTGCTGTCCCCACTGCGGCTGCAGCGGCGGCTGTAGCGCCGGGAGTGGTGCTGCCGGCAAGATTGTCAAAGAAGTCAACGTCGCCAGTGGCGGACGGGATCCCATCCAGCCCTGTCCCTGCCACAACCCCCCCTCCATCACCACCAGCACCGTCAAGAGACAGACCTCCAACTCCTGCTGCTGCCGCCTCTGCTCCCGCCTCCCCTCCTGCCGCCCCCTCTGCTGCTGCTGCTGCTGCTGCTTCAGTTTCAGCAGCAGCGGTGGGGTCTTCGGCGGGGGGCAGGGTGGGGTTGGGGATGTGGATGGGGGGGAAGTCGAGGTGTGCCAGCAGCTTGCGGCGTGCATCGTCTTCAAAGAGGACCGTCAGGAAATCCCACGTCTCCCTGTCCTCTGGTGCACTGGAAAAAGGGGGAGAGGGTAACAAGCGGGCAGCGTGGGGTTGGGGATGTGGATGGGGGGGAAGTCGAGGTGTGCCAGCAGCTTGCGACGGGCGTCGTCTTCAAAGAGCACTGTGAGGAAATCCCACGTCTCCCTGTCCTCTGGTGCACTGGGGGAGGGGGAGAGAGAGGGAAGTGGAAGAGAGGGAGGGAGAGGGTAGTGGGAGAGAGGGAGGGAGAGGGTAGTGGGAGAGGGTAGAGGGAGTGGGTAGTGGGAGAGGGTAGTGGGAGAGGGTAGTGGGAGAGGGTAGTGGGAGAGGGTGACAGGAGTGTGAAACTCACGCCTTGTTGTCCATCCGCAGCGCACAGCTTTCAGCCCTCAGCCTACACATAGAAGCCCCTGCCCCCAAGCCTCTTCCCCCATTACCAACCCCCCACCACCCTCAGTGCCACTCACATGGCGAGCTGCGCCTTGTGTTGGCAGAAGGCCTTCAGATTCTCCCTGTCACCGCCTGCAACGGCAGCTTCAAACTCGTCAGCGCGGGCCACCACGCCCTCCTCCGTCACCACACTGTGCACCGACACCTGCGCCCCCGCCTGCCCCGCCTTGCTTCCAAAGCACAGCAGCCGCCCGCCGAAGCCAAAGGTTGCTCCGCACGGCCGCTTCAGCCACTTGGGCGCGCGGGATGTGGCTGGCGCGGCGGATTGGGGGAGGGAGAGCGGGGGAGAGGGGGGAAGGGTTTCTCAGGAGTGAAGCAGCGCCGAAGACTGCATGGCATATGGTGGGTGGAGATTAATCAATGCGGCACATGGCGTAGCATGCGATGACATGGCGTAGCATGGGATGACATGGCGTAGCATGGGATGACATGGCGTAGCATGGGATGACATGGCACAAAAAAAAAAAAAAAAAGAGGGACGTACCCATGGGCGTTCTGTTGGCAAGCGACGCCCCAAAGTCCGACTCCTTGCTGCTGGCGGACTGCCAGAGATGGGGCAGAGCAGCAACAATAAAGACAGGAGGGGAGGGGTGGAGGAAACGTTTCAAAGACCCAACAAGAAAGAAAGGCGCAACATCTGGGATAAAAGACGGTGACCAGTGGGTATGGGCAGGGCAGGGACGGACGGAAAGTTGGAAGGAAGACTGGGAAAGCTTGCAATGGGGCAAGCGAGCGCAAAACACAGATGGAATCCAAAGTGGTGATGCCATGCCTCGATGTTGTCGAGTGGTGATGCCATGCCTCGATATTGTAGAGGGAGACGTGGCCATCGAAGCAGGAGGCGACTTTTGAGTTCGACTCAAAAGTCACTAAAAGGGCAGCCATACGCAGAACAAGCATGATGCACCTTGATGTTGTAGAGTGAGACGTGGCCGTCGAAGCAGGAGGCGGAGAGCAGCTCCGGCACGCGTGGCGACCAAAGAAGCTCACGCGTGAATGCTGTGAAGCAACTCACCTTGATGTTGTAGAGTGAGAGACGCACCTCGATGTTGTAGAGTGAGAGACGCACCTCGATGTTGTAGAGTGAGACGTGGCCGTCGAAGCAGGAGGCGGAGAGCAGCCCCGGCACGCGTGGCGACCACTGCAGGTCGAAGTTCCAGTTGGTGCCTGCTGGTAACTCACAGAGCACCTGGTGGGGGAGGGGGAAAGGGGTGAGGGTGGCGAGGGAGAAAAGGGGATGGAACAAAGGGGACAAGGGAGGAAAGATCTCGACACTTAAGCAGAGAGCTTGGTTGCCCTTGGTGCACGAGAGCAGCAAGGCACAGTTGATCACGAATCGGTTCACATGCCATCAACCACATTCCACAGCAGCAGCTCGGCCACATCAACCACATTCCACAGCATCGGTTCACGAATGGGCAGCAGCTCTCACCTCCCCAACGGACGTGTCCCAGCAGAGGGTGCGGTTGTCCTTGGCGCATGAAAGCAGCAGCCCGCTGTCACTGGGACACCATGCCATGGCCAACACTCCTGTGGGGCAGTGTGGGGAGAAGAGGGAGGAGAGACAGCACTGTAGGTCAGGAGAACAGACGTGAAAAGCAACATTGTTGTGTGATATCCACTGTGCATGAGGCGCATGAAAGCAGCAGCCCGCTGTCACTGGGACACCACGCCATGGCCAAAACTCCTTTGGGGCAGCGCAGGGGGGGAAGAGGGGAGAGACAGCATAGTGAGTCAGAAGAAGCGTGTCTACCCGCTTACATCTGTTGCACACTAAAAATCTGTTCCCATGCTGCATCAT